CCCCAAAACCCCAAAACCCCAAAACCCCAAAACCCCAAAACCCCAAAACCCCAAAACCCCTCATTGTTTCTATATTTTGACAAAATATTTTATAAAGTAAAAGCAGTATTAGAAAATGCTAACTAAATTTGATAACAAGTCTAACATATTACAGAAGAAAGAAACTCGGGAGATACTACCAGAAAATGAGAGTGGACATGACTTGTTAGAAGAACTTCCTAAGAATCAACTATATGAGAAGTCCGATAGCCTAACAAATGAGTTTGGGTTACCTAAAAGTATTGAAGATGATAAGAGGTACATTAAGACTTCTCAAGCATTTCCTTGAGAATATTTCAAACACAAAGAAATTTTACAGAAGTCAGAAAGTCTTGAGAGAAAAGATATCCCTACTTTTGGTGATGCTTTTGGTGATAAGGCGAGTGACATATCAATGCCTCAGCAAAATTTTTGAATGAATCTTTCTCAGGATTTTATGCTAACAAATTCCAAAGAAAATGAGAGGAGCAGTTTTATCCTAAAATCTGAGAAAGATACTATCTCAATGAAACAAGGAGGTTTCTCTTGCACTAGTGTATTAAAGTGTAAGGATACTGCTTCCTGAAAGTCACATAATCAAATTTACATGAATAGTTCATCAAATTGCTATGCTAAATCTGAAAGTGGAGAGTCTCTGCATCTATTCAGGAAGATGACCAAGGACACCTTTTCCCTAAGTGATGGGACTTCTGAGAAGAGTTATAACATGTTTATTCTTGATAAGAGATCAGAGGTCTTACATCTAGGAAATCAAGACTTTGAAAGTCAATTCAATAATAGAAGTAATTTTAGAGTCTAATTATAATTTATAGACCTTGTTTGAGGATCTTCATTTTGTCAAAATTCAAAGAGACTTCAAGGCTCGAATAATCAGCAAGAAAGCTCAGATAAGGTAGAAATCGCCTGAGACCTCAGTAACTCTGTTGAGAATATCGATTTTATATTTTGAGATTTAAGTCAAACTCCTTTTAATTTACCTGAAATCAATGATGTTGAGTTTGACCACGATATTTTTGATAGAATAATGGAAAGGTAAGCGAGTTTGCTTCTTATATTATTTATAACTTAGTTCAAACTGGTTTATTTATCATCTTCAGTCTTGGGACAGCTTTAGCTTACTTTTCTATAGCTCAGTTATCAAAAACAAAGAAACTTCAGAACAGAATGAATGAAAAATCAAGCATCAGATCCCCAGTATTTCTGATATGGTGTCTTGCAGTATTTTCAAAAATAGATCTGGCTCACATAATTCAAAGAAAATTTTTATAAATGTCGGTGACAAATACGACGGAGAACGAGCATGGAAGAAGATCTACCAGCTTTCTTCTCATCTCCAAAAATGCAGCAGGGAGGAGCTTATCTCATACGTAGCTAGGATCAAGAAGAACCAGAATATGCGAGGTTCTAAAAGAAATGATTGCTCATCTCAGAGAACTCCTGATTCATCGCTCTTTGAGTATAAAGCCCCAATCTTGAGCTCTAAGAGCTCTATAGTATATCCCTGTAGGCTCCAGCAGAGGATCTTCAGGATGTTCTGGAAGTGTTTCAAGCTAGACTTTGAAGAGTTCCTCAAGACTAAAAATATCATCTTTAATAGAGTTGCCAAGGATATGAGCCAGGATACTTTCAACGACTTCCTAATTGAGTTCCTGGACTATTATTATCCAAATATTTTGGAAAAACTCGATGATGAGGTCTTAGAAAAAGTCATGGAAACCATGACTCTGTTTATCCTTAAGGACAGGCATAGAAAAGACTATAAAATTACTGAAGGACTTGACTTTGAATCATGGAATAGTCTAGTGAACAAACCTAAATCAGAGAAGTTCATTGAATTCTTCAGCCTCCCAGAGAACTCCTTTATTTATTGATTCTTCTTCTACAAAGAGTGAAAATATCTTGTTGAAGATCCGAGAAATTCTGTGTGAAGGAAAAACTCAAAGGACTCAAAGGAGAGTCTTAGTCTTTTTAACCAAATGCATGAGCTATTCAATGAGTTCCAAATCTTCATTCCTTCAGAAGTGAGGCAGGAGATAGCTGAATCTACTGCTTTATACCTTCAGAGGATATAAGACTGCTAGGATTATCAGCCAGCTGGGATAGAAGTTCATACACCAATTTACCAACTGGTGTATGAACTTGTAACTTCCCATCTCAAAGCTAGAAGGTCTAGGTTTACCTTGACCTCTAGTGTAGAGCTGGGGCTAATTTATTCGATCTCAACTCTCTATCCTTCCAGATTTGAAAATTGAGGTCGGCATAAAATTCGTACAAATTCCTTTGTTATTTGAGAAAATTTTTGTCAAAATTCAAGTATTTTTATAATTTTCTAGCTAAAATGGAAGATTAAAATTTTGACAGTTTTAGATAATTCTGGAGTTTATATTAAGATAAAGAGGGGCTAAGTTTGGAGAACATTATTAATACTTTTAAAAAGGTATAAAAAACTGAGAGGTTCAAGTTATTGTTCGCCATAGTGGTATGTTATATTATTCCATACTCCTTGAAAAGGAAAGTGGTAAAGAATGTTTTATTCAATTTGAAAATAATTGTCCAAACCAAGATGGAATATTAACTGAACTATTTATCAATCACTAGATAAATCAAGTCTAATCCCTAATAATGCCATAACTAACCCCCTCTCCTCATAACTCCCACTAAAACCTCCTCCATCTCACACAATTCCCCCACCTCGAAATACTCCTCCTCTAAACCTCTCAATGGACAGACTGTAAATCAATAAAATATCTTCTTCAAGGGGTTTTGGGGTTTTGGGGTTTTGGGGTTTTGGGG